AACCACAGGGCTTAGAAGTACACAGGAAATGGAGGTAGGCAGTGTTCCTTACTTTGCTTTGGTTTTATTTACAGAATGGAAAGCTAATTCTGAGGACAAATGGAGGTTTTTTTTTTTTTTTTTGACAAATGGAGTTTTAAGGCAAATTATTATCTTTTGAAATTCAGATATGCTAACTGCAATAGGGTAATGTAGAAATCGCTATCTGGAACTACTGGACTTGCCTATTGTTCAGCAGATACCAGACCTACCTTCAAGTACTAAAAGCCCATTCTCACAAGCCATAGAAGAGTTCTTCTGTATCCATACAGAAGAAGAGTTGGTATCAAGAATCAAGTTGGGTGGGGTCAGCATTAAGAGGAAAAGACAGTAGGGTCACATTTAATGGACTTGTTTTTAAAAGCAGGAATTCTTTTTCAGAAGAGGTGGTTAGGGGGAAAAGATTGGAAAACAGGTCTCAAATCTCAAAAGGCAGCTCCCCCCCCCGCCCAACCTCTCCCATCCCAGGGCAGCACAGTGGCTCATGCCTATAATCCTAATACTCTGGGAGGGTGAGGTGGGTGGTATGTTTGAGTTGAGACCAGCCTGAGCAAGAGACTCCATCTCTACTAAAAATAGAAAAAGAAGGCTCGGCGCCTGTGGCTCAAGCGACTAAGGCGCCAGCCACATACACCTAAGGTGGCGGGTTTGAATCCCCAGCCCGGGCCCGCCAAACAACAATGATGGCTGCAACCCAAAAATGGCCAGGCGTTGTGGCGGGCGCCTGTGGTCCCAGCTACTTGGGAGGCAGAGGCAGGAGACTCGCTTGAGCCCAGGAGTTGGAGGTTGCTGTGAGTGTGATGCCATGGCACTCTACCCAGGGGGATAGCTTGAGGCTCCGTCTCAAAAAAAAAAAAAAAAAAATAGAAAAAGAAAAAAACCACAAACCAAAAACTAGCCATGCATGGTGGCATGTTTCTGTAGTCTCAGCTATTGGGGAGGCTAAAGCAACAGAGTCACTTGAGCCCTAAAGTCTGAGGTTGCTTTGAGATATGATGCCGCCACCACACTATATCCTGGGCAACGGACTGTCTCAAAAAAAAAAAAAAAATCTCAAAAGGGTAACATCTTGGTCGGATAACCTAATCAAGGTCTTAGGCTCAGCAATCACATAGGAACTACAGTTACTAGACTTGAGGTATAAGCCAGATGCAGACATTATGGCATTGCACACACTTTTCAAACTAGGGTATAATCCTGAAATTAGGAGATTAAAAAAAGTATCACATTTATGAGAAATTATGACTATCTTCTGAAGAATTTTACTTGACAGTAACTTAATCCATATTTCACATGAGACCCAGTCAGCCATATTTTCAAGCAATTTTGGATGAATTTAGAAGGAAACAGAATTTCAAAGAAATGTCCAGATTTTAGGCTTTACTCCTACAGCACTGATGCTCTTGAAAAGTTTCAAGGGCAATAATGTGAAAAAAGTAGTGTTTGTGGACCTTTTTTTGGTAGTTCTTGGCCTGGGCTGGGTTTGAAACTGCCACCTCCAGTATACAGGGCCAGTGCCCTATCCCCTGAGCCACAGGTGCCGCCCCTTGGGGACTTATTTTAAACTAAATTTCTACTACTCACTGTAGATCTAGGGCGAATCTCCAGATTACTTACTCCCAGAGGACTGTTGTAAAGATTATAGTTAATATACCAAGTATCTACTAAGGTGCCTCACAAACAGGTATTTAATAAGGTGACAAAGGGGTAAAAACCCAAGCTACAAATGCTTATCTTACTGCTTCAGATCAGGATAGGTACAATGGCCTAAAAAGCTGTCCAGTCTCTCTACAGAATAAAAACTCAGATTTTAAGTGTGAAGTGTGGATTTGAGTCTAACTGGAACATAGTTGGATATGGCTGATAACTCATACATGATGCACACTTAACTTGTGATCACACATTGTTAGAGAAGTTTTGCATATTCACTAAATCTTTGTAATAACCCTTCAAAAGAGGCATAATTACAATTTTATAGATAGCTGAGCTTCTTAAGAAAGTTCCTTTTACTCTATTAATGGAGTAGGTACTAGAAGTTGTTTTTCCACATTCTGTGTTAATGGAGGGGGCATCCCTACTCCGCCAAATGGGAGATAGGTGTAAATAAGTGAAATTAAGCAATGGTTATTTACAGTAGCTCAACTACAGAAGTAATCAAATATTGAGTTGGTGACCTGTGTTGTATGATGTGACATGGGAAAAGTAGACCAGGGACAGGAGTAGTCAGGAAATCTTTTATAATATTTAAAAAAACGTGATTTCCAGTTTAAGCATCTTCAAGTACAGTAACAAGTTAAATCTCATTTATTAGACTACAGTATATGGAATTTGCGACAATCTTTATAGGAACTGAGAAAGAAAGTATCTGAAAATGTTCTTCATACTACTTCTCCTCTAATAGTTAAAAAGTCTGAGCACAAAACTACATTCCTCAATGATTTCTGCCTAACTCCCATGCTGAATTCCACCTAATAAGCCCCAAATACAAAGGGCAGCATCGTGTACACACGCCAATCAGTGTGAGGAAATCCCTATTCCATTACTTTCACAAACTGTTTTCTCTTTATTGAACATTTAATTTAGTCATGTTTTTTTACCAGATAATGGAAACACAGAACTGGTTAAGACCCTCTAAGAACTCAGTTCAAAAACACTGGGAATCAACCAAACAAATAATAAAAAAAAAAAACAATGGGAATCAGGAGACTACCAAGGTCACTGTTTACATAGACAGAAAAATTAAATACAACAGTGTGAAATAGGGTCAAAATAAAAAGACACAGAGACTGAAAAGTACCTGAGATAAATTAAGCCAGTGTTGAAAAGCTAATAGGAGTCTGTCAGGAAGCAACATGGGACATTTTTAAGACTTGAAAAGCATGAGCAGTTTACTAAGTTCAGAGAACAGCAATAATTTCCATGAGATTGGAGGGATATACAGTAGGTATGGTTAGAAAGATTGGTAGGGATTAGATCCTGAAGAGATATGGTATACCAAGGTATTGGGACTTTAACGTATAGATCATTGTTTCCCAGTTATGACCATGGAGACTGAAATTACAATGTTAATGGGCAGCGCCTGTGGCTCAGTGAGTAGTGCACCAGCCCCATATACTAAGCATGGCAGGTTTGAACCTGGCCCTGGCTTATACTGCAACAAAAAATAGCCAGGCCTTGTGGCAGGTGCCTGTAGTCCCAGCTACTTGGGAGGCTGAAGCAAGAGAATCGCTTAAGCCGTGGAGTTGGAGGTTGCTGTGAGCTGTGATGCCACAGCACTCTACCAAGGGTAACAAAGTCAGACTCTGTCTCAAAAAAAAAAAAAACACAAGATATGTTTAATTTTTTGACTCCTTAACTTTCTAAAAATCTAAGAAGTAGAAAAATTTCGAATCATTTTATTTTAAACTCCCAAATACAAGAGATGAAGTAAATCATCTTTTATTTTCATTTTACATTTGGTTTATCAAGAGACATGCACAACTCTCCAATTTTAATGAGAACAGTGTTTTTGTGTTTTTTTATCACATATCCGCTTAATATTAGGTGTAATGTTGCTAAGTCGGATCCGCATATGAGGTGCTGCATCAAGTCTTTTCCTATATTTTGTTTTTGTTGCAGCATAA